TTCATTCCAAAATTAGTCATGAATATTTATTGTTATCTATACTCATCTAAATTTTTTTATACTACCTTATCAGCCTTAATTAGTGATCACGTCTGTTTGTTTTTAATTTTGTTATGCTTATAAATTCCAGGACAAATGTGTGAACAAGCCAAAGGATGCATTTCCGAGATCTTGAGAGTCAGTGGACAAGAAACAGTTGGTATCCTTGGGTTAACTTGTTCTAATCATGGCTAGAACCCAAATATCTGATTAGTCATGTGCATTTTTTTTAGATTGAAAAGAATATCAAAGATATCCAAGGCCTAGCACTAGCTCTTGTGCTTGAAAAAGTAAGAGCAGGATTTGTTCGAATTACCTCTCGATCATCATGTTATCTGATTAACAGGTTCTCTCCTCTCTGTTCCTTATTTGTTCATGCTAATGATGTTTTTTTCAAGAACCATTTAAACCATCAAAAGCTTTGGTGTTTGGAAAGGCGTTTCAAAGTATTGGCCTCTCCATCACCTGGTTGTCAAGAGGTGTTTCAAAGATTTCAAAATCGACCTCTAGTGGTACCTTGAAGCATAGAAACAGATGAGTAAGTTTATGTCTCTTAACATATTTTCATATGTATTCAATTTTGTGATGTGTTGCCCAAAGATTAAGAACAATGATATTTGGTGGCTTCATTCATATGCACAGGTCTTTGAGTTACAAAAGTGGTAAAGGCAAATTCATAGTCCAGAAAAATTAAGAGTCGGGTAATATCTCTTTGTCCCTCTTCTCATGTTAACTAAAAAAACTCACATCCTGAAATTTATAGTAAAAAAAAAAAGATAAGTTAATGTGTGGACGACTAGAAAAAATTAGTTTCTACTATGTAAAAATGGATATCAACCACCTCGAGCATGCTAAGAATTGTAAAACAAATGAAGCATAAGAGCTCATGGCTTCCACTCACTAATCCAATTTCTTAATCTTATTTCGTGAGTTTAACATAGCCTAGTATACTTCTTATTGTGGAGAAATAAGTGTGATTTGGGTCTAAAGAGACGTTCCTAATAGCCAGCCTCCTCGTCAATATGAAGGGGAGATCAGTGGTTCTACAATGAAAATTGAGGGAGGGTAAGTTTATTTATCTAATCTAAAATGCTGACAGTTCCTCTTGATGTTAGTGTGTTGTGTTAAAATGTGATAATTTGATATAATCTCCATACTAATTGAGTCTCGTTTTGACGTTATACCTGGAATTGAGGAGTGGTAAAAGACATTGGATCTCCATTTTCAGTATCAGATCAGTCCATACTTTTGGAAATGAGTGAAGGCATGTGTTGTCTTGACATACACCTCACCATGGACTGGTATTACGAATCCTCTCTTGAATTGTTTTATATGCAGCATCTGTCTATGTTTTGCATTGTGTAAGCTGATCATTTTGCTTGCTTCACACTCTAAGTCCTTCATTTGCATTCCAATTATTGATTTCACAGCCAATCATCCGAAATCCAAGAAATATTTCTCCGATCCAAGGCTTGCTGCTTATGAAGTACAATATAGACAAGTTATGGCAGGGAATGGATGTGTTGTCCCACTCAAGCTTTTGTAAGTGTCATAAGTACCCAAACTAACTTTCATCTGCATATTGATGTCCAAGCAGGGACGATTCAAGGAAAAGTTATACGCGGAAAGAAGTTGCGATATTGAGAAGTAAACCCCATTGGTACAAGCTTTCTTTTACTTGTGGGATGATGTATAATTAGTTAGTGTGTTGTTTTAGTTGAAATTACTTATTTACAGCTTTCTTATAACAATCAAAACTCTTGGCAGCCACTGAATTTGGAGTACTTTGATAACGTCTTGCAAGATGGCCAGTGAAGTGTATCCCTATGCCACGAATGCTCGTGTTTTGACTCCATACTATTGTGGTACGATTCCCTTTTACTTCATGTTGAAATGAACTCTTAAATTTCTTAACTATAATTTACAGGAGGTGTAATGTATGTAAGCTTGGTTCTGAATTTGAAGGTGATGATTATAGAAAGGTAAACTATGGTCGTTAGTATTAAATATATCTATTTGGTGCTTACGTCAAAATGTTTGTAGGGATGTTGTGTAACTAAGCAAGTGCAACTAGTAAATGTTGCTAATTAAATGTTTCGTTTCAGGAGAACGAATTCTTATGCTGTAGAGACAAACATTGGGAGATGATTGGGTAGCTAAGAGAAAACAAAGACTAAGGTAGAGTCTCTCTCTCTCTCTCTCTCTCACACACAACGTGAAAAGCAGAACACAAAATACTCAAATGCAATAAAAAAAACAGAGCACGAAAACAAAACACGCATAAACAAAGTCAACACAACAATAATATATACAACACTCAAAAGTAACAAAATTCAAACACACACAAAAGGAAACTCAAAATAAAAACACAAACTCAAGAATTTTCACATACCAAGACCTCAATCAAGAAACCAAACAAAAGAAAGAGAAAGCAATTTAGAAACCCTAGAATTGGATGTATTCAATATATTTTCTATCTATTTTCATATGATCAAGCGACTACAATAGAAAATGGCATCTTGCAGAAAGAGGAAACTTTTTTTACAACTTTTCTTCTCTGTGATAGTTGAAAATATCTTCAGTTTGAATCCAATATGACTCAAACGTCAACCCTTGGTCAACAACACTATAAAGGGAGCCACTAGAGAATTCGTATTAAAAAGCTGACATTTTATAGACTGTGAGCAAGAAGGTAAATTTTTCTCCACAGAGAAATTTTCAGCCCCTGATTTCTCTACTTTAGTAATTTCCATTTCACAAGGTTTGATAGATTTTTGTAAGGATGTTACAGCTGCCACCAGAAATGTAACAATATCAATCTTTTGGGTTAATGAAAAACAGCGGAAGGATGCATTTCTGATATCTTGAGAGTCAGTGGACAAGAGTACGGTTGGTATCCTTGTGTTAACTTAACATATTCATAGCTAGAACCCAAATATTTGATTACTCGTGTGAATTTTTCTCAGGTTGAAAAGAATATCAAAGATATCCAAGTCCCAGCACTAGCTCTTGTGCTTGAAAATGTAAGGACCAGGTTTTGTTCAAAGTATTTCTCCATCATCTCGTTATTTGGTTAACATGTTTTCTCATCTTCGTTCCCTTTTTATGTTCATGCTAACGACGTTTTCTCCAGAAGACCAGAACCATTTGAATCATCAAAAGATTTGGCGTTTGGAAAAGGTGTTTCAAAGTACCTCTCCATCATTTGGTTGTGAAAAGGTGTTCCAAATATTTCAAAATCAACCTTCAAGCAAAGAAACAGATCAGTAAGTTTCTGTCTCTCAACATATTTTCTTCTGTGTTCAATTATGTAATGTGTTGCCCAAAGATTAAAAAGAATGATAATAGGTTGTTTCATGACATATGCATAGGTCTTTGAGTTGTAAAAGTCCTAAAGGGAAATCAGTAGTCCAGAACAAATGAAGAAAGAGTCAGGTAATCTCTTTGTCTCTCTTCTCATCATGGTAACTAAAAAACTCACACCAATGACCAAACCCACAAACACGACCAAAACAAAAACAAAACTTCACAAATACTCAACACAATTAAAAAACAGAACAAAATAATATCAAACAAAACAAAAACTCTAGACAATCACTTATGACTAGAAAAACAACACAAAAAACTCTACACTCAAAACAAAAACTGCACATGCCACGAAACACAACACAAAAATCAACAAAAATGAACAAACCTCAACAAATTTAGACACACCTGAAACAAGAATTCACATTGGTATTTTTCTTTCTAATTTAGTAGAGTTTCGTGCTTTCTATTTATTAAGTGAAGAACAATTCGTAGAAATTTATGCACCATTTGTAATAATTATTTAATATAAATTTTGTTTTTCTATAAAAACAGTTTTCATTTCTTATGTTTATACGCAGCAAATCTTGTAGCAATTCATTTTTTTTTTACCTTTCTCAATTTATCGCATTGTAAATGAGATTATTATTTTATTAGTGCATCTCTTCTGTCGTAACTATGTATCACGATCATTTCAATACATATTTTGTTTCCTTCTACATACTATACAAATTTTCACAATACATTACTTTCTTTTGGATGGCATGAAGTTAAATGATAGCCCCCTGAGAAAGATTAGCGGTGGTTCAGGTTTTCGAGATTTATTCGAGTTTAGTCATGCACTTTGGCAAACTATGGAGAGCAAAAAAAAAAAAAAACGAAATGAAGACGTGCGATACAATCTAAACTGTTCTAGTAAGAAATTTACCGAAACTGAAACTGATAGTACCATCCTATTCATTAAGTATCTCCTCCACCAGCTTGAAAGCTAAGGAATTAAAAGGATAACTTTTTACGTTGAAAAAAATTGACTTGTGTATTGGATTGGACTGTGAATTAATCATGGTCCATGGATCATAAGACTAGTTAAATGGTTAAAACCTCTGTCCGATGACAACTTTGTTTTCTCCCTCTGTTTACATTCCCTAGTTTTTTCTCTATAGTCTCATCTCTTGCATCTTCAGAATTTCACATACAATCATCAAACCGAATCCAGTTGCAAGCGTACACAGAAACTTCTTTCTAAAGCTTTAAAAACTTCAACACAATGTGTTTAAATTATTCAAGCCAAAAACTATTGCCAACTTAAAATTTCCAAAACCAAAAGCCAAAAACTAAAAATAAAAGTTCCATTGAAAAATGGGAATCTAACGAGCAGTGTCATATTTCAAACAAATCTTTTAAGAAATGCCATATTATTTTTCTTTTTCTAAAAATTCCATGATCCAGCTTTTTGGTTATAAGTATGTGACCATTTTGCCTTTCTCGAATTTGGCAAGAAAATGAATTGTTCTGCAGGGAATAATGCATTAAATGTGGCTTGTCAGAAGCACATGCATTAAATGTGGAAAAAGAAACACTAGACAAAAACTATGTTAGTAAATCGGTAGACAATATTGAATTCCTAGAAATACAAATTTGGCTACTATCTACAAAATTGTGATGGAGATAGTTGAAATGGAGAAGATAAGGGATTACAAATATGTAATCCTAAGTACATGAAATCTTGGACCCAGAAGACAGGTGAACAAAAGAGCTTCATCAATGCTGTTTTGATAAATGGGAACAAACCTGAGTACTCTTTAACTGGATTTGGGGATGTGAAGATTTCACATCTACGAAAGTATCATGCTCATTTACTGCAACAGGCTTTCAACATGAAGATGAGGATCTTATCGTACTGGAAAATCGTCCTGCGAAGGATTGTGGACAACCTTGCGCTGCATCTGCAATTAACTGTGAGAAATCTCGTGGATAAGGAGTTTCAGAAGGAGATCATCGCAGAAACGGTAGATTCTAGAAGCGGGAACGGAGGCAGCGTTCATAGGTTGCTGGAGGAGTCACCTTCTGTGGCGAACAAGAGAGAGAAACTAAACAACAATATCAAGTTTTTGAAGGAGTCAAAGGATGTTGTGGTCGCCATTGTTGATCAGAATTGTGGTAATGGAGAACGTTAGTTTCTCGCCATTTAGGGGTTTTTCTGATGAATTTTCTTTCCTTGGAAGGCAAGGCTTTTGTGATCTCTTGAACTCTGGGTGTTTCCTTATGTTTTCAATCTTTTTGTGGTAATGCATTGTTTTTTTTATGGTGTATAACGTTTCCCGTTTTTATGAATTAAAATTTATCTTCAAAAAATCATTGTTCTTAGTATAGTAAACAAATGAAAAAAAAAAGTTGGATTGGAATGACGACTAATGTTGTAATGAAAATAGTTATTAAAAAAAATAATGTAATGGAAACCCATGAACTGAGCTAGAAGTGAGTTTAAGGTCGCCGGGGAAATTTAGAGAAGTCTGGTGGTCGGCGGTGCATGTAAGCAGTTCTCCCTTCGACAGCTTCTTCGGTTCCATAGAATAAGAGTGTCGCATCGCAACCGAGTCCCTGCAACAAGAAAAGTTCGTCAATCCGTTAAAAACTGCATGACTATAGGATTTTGCTCCTTTAGAACAAAAAGAGACTAAGCAAGTTGGGTGAAGGAGGTATCTGAACTCCGGCATGGCCATCATCAACAGCGTTGAGTGCTGCCTTAAGCACTCGGATTGCAGTTGGACTGTTCCGCAAGATTTCTCTGCACTATTTCACAGTTTCTTTCACTGTTCCGCAAAAAACAGGTCTCAGTGAAGGAATAAAACACTTACCAACAAATAGAGTGATTTATTTTGTGAATCTGTGACAACACTATGGGGTTTACTGGTAATCTTTACCGGCACAACTGTATTGATAAGTCCCATTCTCTCTGCTTCAGAAGCTGTGTAGAACTTCGTCATAAACCACATTTCTCGTGCCTTTTTATGACCAACCTGTTTATTTTCAGACAGTTTGATCAGCCTATGTTTGTTAGATTTTGGATATATTGCAATGCAGTAATAGTGAGTTCAATTACCAAACGAGACATGATAGAACTTCCATAACCAGCATCAAAACTTCCAACCTGCAGACATCAAGCCGATCCACATAATCAATAACTCTGGTTCCTACTTCACTTACATAGTTACACAGTCAATTCAAGGCTGAAACCGAGGCTAGAGGGAAAAACTTAGGACCCGTTTGACCAAAAATAGCATTATCAGCTGCAATTGTTAGATCGCAGACCATGTGCAAAATGTGTCCTCCTCCAATAGAATAACCAGCAACCAGACTCAGTCCAAAATCAAACAGATCAACCACAAGAAATGCTCTCTTCCCATGGGCATAGATGCAAACTAACAGAACTAGCTAATCCAGGATTAGTAAAAAGATGCATAGAGTAAACTAGCAGTTGTTTGAAAGTGCTTACCATCGCGATAACTTGCTTTGGCAATCTGTGGATTTGAACCTTAGTAGGAACAGAAGAAGGAAGGAGGAAAATACATGAATCCGATAAGGATGAGGAAACCCGATCTTTTTATTGTCTTGTTGATCAAGGACATACCTGAAGATCAAGAACATTAAGGCGGCCAACATCATTGGGATCAACATAACCGTCTTGTGTTCTCAACGCCTGATCACCACCAATGCAAAATGCTTTTGTTCTCTAAACCATCAAAATCACTTTTTACATCATACTCTGCTTTTACTCCATCTTCAATGTTCATCCACATTCATAAATTAACTTTGATATGGTTCTATTACATTTATATTGCTTCATAACATATATCTAATTCATATAAAATCAGATACTAACCATTATCGAAAAACCATTTACCTTGCCGGTGAGTATGATGACTCCTACAGAGCTGTCATCACTAGCATTGTTAAACGCACGCATAAGCTCCTTTACACTCTGAGGCCGGAACGCATTTTTTCTCTCTGGTCGGTTTATAGTAATCTACAAAAACCCCAAAAACAAAAACTATGCTACTCAAAACCCACTTCACCAAATACATAACTCTCTCAGGATTTTCATCAAACACTACAAGCACAAACCTTTGCAATGCCTTCATCAAGGGCTTTCTCATAAATAATGTCAACAAACTCCTTATTATCCCCGTCACCAAAGAAATTAGCTTTTTTCCAAACGACTTCGTGGGTCAGAACTTCACCGTGAACCTTATGGAAACTATCATCCATTGACGAAACACTACAGAGTTCCACTGAGCCAACACGAGTTGAACTGAATCTGATAGGGATAAGATGATTTGTGACAACGGAGATTCGCCGTAACGAGTTCCTTGGAATCCGCCATTGAAGAGGAAGAAGCGAGACAGGGAAAGATGATGAAAACGACCAAAGATTCTAGAGCATGGACTATGACAATGGAAGTGATAATTCATTTTTTAAAATTGAAAAAAAACAAAAGTTAATTAAAATTTCCTAAAAAAAAGCTTTCAAGCTTTGCTTTGCAGAATCAGAGGAAGTGATTCTGCAGAAGAAAAAAAAAAGATTCACAGGAAGTCTTCATGAGGAAGTGAACAGAATTACTTCGCGGTCTGTTTCTCTTTCTATAAAAACGTTTTTGACGATGAAATAAGATAAAACAAAACGCAAGAAAACATGCGTTTCACTTTGTCACTTGGAGTTATTTCCATAAATGCCGTTTTATGCGCATAATCAATACAATAATAACACCTTGTTTCTCTCCTGGGTTGACACATAAGATTTTTCAGATGTTCTCAGCTTGACACATCAGTAAAAACTTTTATCCAATCAAATTATAACAATTAATACAGCTCATCATTTTCTTCCAATCAAAATACTCTCTTCTAACACATCATTTGTTAACATCATCATCTTGGGCTTCTTACACTTATTCATGGCCCATTTTTATGTTTATAAATATTGATTATAGCCCCAAACGTGATGGGCTGTGTTGAAATAGACTTTTATGTAAATATACTTTTATGTTTTCGTTATATTTCTGACCTGAGCATTCGCTGGTCTTTTTGGGAGATCAATCCGTCGGAAATACCAGTATCATCACTTGGCTCATGTACGACATATTCGACAATACAAACCAATCTTAGCTACTCTTTTATCATGCTTACTTTAGTTCTCGTGTCAGACATGGATTGTGTAATAGCCAAGGCAAAGTGAATGAAAAGCTCTTAGTCCATGTGTTTTGCAATAAATCACTATTAAAAAAATGAATAAAAAAATATAATAAAAATTGAAATAATTGCACACCTTGCATACAATAGTCTGAAAGAAGAAAAATGATCATTTTCGTTTTTTTATTAAAAAGGACTAGTTGTTAACCCGCGGTACACCGCGGGCATATATATTATTTGAAATTTTTTGTTGAATTATTAATTTCAATATTTTAGTTGATATTATGTATTTTTTTATTAATGTAAATGTATATATTGATATAGAGAGTTGTATATATCTATAAATGGTAGAATTAGTAAATTTCAATATCATTTCTTAATAATAATATTTTAAATTTATATTAATGTTTACTCAAACCCGTTCCGCAAAACCCGTCCCGTGTTATTTTAAATTTTTGTATATGTTTAGATATTCATTATATTTAAAACTTTTTAAGAGTTTAAAATTAACTATATTCGACAAAATTTAAACAGTTTAACTAAAAACCCGACGTAAACCCTATACAAACTTTTAAATATGGATGCTTGATAAGTTAAATTTTCTGTTCATTCGGATTTGGATTGTAAATTAATTGTGGTTATGAAAAATAAACAAAAACTATAAATATTAAGAATATATTTAAACTATAAAAAAATTTAAAATAACATTTGAAACTTCTTATAAATTTTTAAATATTTATAATGTTTATACTTCTTATAAATTCTTATAAAGATCAAATATATATAATATTTGAAACTTCATAAAAGATTTAATATCGACTCAAAATACATATTTGTATTTTAATTATTCTATCTAGGATTTCACCCGTAGTATACTATCCCGTATTAATATCGACCCAAACCCGTCCCACCATATAACTCCGTCCCGTGAAATTAAACATCATTTTGTTAATTTTCTTTTTATTAATATTTTTTTAAAAAGATATATAATTTAGTTAGTTTAAAAGTTTGCTTTAAATGGTTTCCATATTATATATATTTTTAATTTTTATAAATTCAAATATTATTAATATTATAAACTTTTTATAAAATTTAAATATTATAACTACTTTAAACTATTTTTTGGTAAGGATATAGACCCTAGTATTGAAATAGGCCGATGCATATTTATTTTCTTTAGAACGTGAACGCCTAAAGTTGGTTCACAAATTCACAAATCACAAATTATATCGATCTAGTCAACAAAACCACGTAAACCACACAAGAAACCAATTTGGTCAACATCAACAATTTCCTTTCTTCTCCAATAATTTTGACTCATCAGAGAATCAATAAATAATTTGGTCTGTCTTTTTGTTTGTGTATATTTTAGATATTTACTATTGAATGGAAAAAGCGTAATGATGCTGCAATTAAATGAATCTTGAAGGGTATAAAGATTAACCTTCACAGTACAATGCAGGATAGGCCATCTAGTGAAATGACCACAGGGCCATTTGGTAGAGCTTTTCCGTCCTGCAGCCAGTAAGAAAACATGATTCCATAAGTAGCAGAGGGATATCATAACAACAGGCTATAGTAGCCTCACACATCATCATTTCAGCTCCCTAAGCTTCTGTTATTAATTACGATTATATATGGATTAAGTGCCAATTCACAAGTAAAATGATATCACTCTTACCTGCTTCAGATTATTTAAGAAACTTCTCGTTAGATATGCCTGAACGATGGCACGAGCGCTCAGAAACAGCAACTGATATCCATTCTCCTGAAAAATCCAAAGCAATGTACAGCATAAAGTTAGATCCATACTTACAGAGTACAAATTTAAGATATACAAATCACGTAAACCACACAAGAAACCAGTAGATTTTTGTTTGTGTTTAGAGATTGGAGAAATTAGTGAGTATTTATAGTGTTTTGATAGTTAGTAGGGTTTTAGGTCAGAGAATATTCAAAATCTTGATGAGCAAGAATTTGATATCTTTGAAAATCTTTAAATCGTCACAAAAAAAAATATGCTACGTATATGCTTGATCAAATAAGGATAAAATCGTTTAGTGATGTGACATTTCCAATTTGTTTATTTGAGATTGATATTCAATTAATATTTTTCAACTTTTTTAGGAAACAAATGTTAAATACAATAAAATCTCTAGCATTAAAATAGGAAACTATTTGCTTTGTAAATATATGTTTGTTATGTAAATATATATGATTTCTATATTTACTAAATCAATCATTTAATTTCGATTTATATAATACTAATTTAGATTTGATTTTGATTTTATTGTTTTAGTAGTTTATATTTAGTAGATATGATCGATATTTTGATTATCAATAGCATTTAAAATTAAATATTTGATTTCTATATATTTTAAACTCAAATCGAGGTTACGAAAAATTAGGAATGTTTAGTGAGTTAATTTATTGTCTTGTAAAATTTGCTTAATACAATATTTTTGTCAGATTATTTTTGTAGGGACTAAATGTACAAATACAAAATTGTAAAAGGATTTTTTGAACCAAATCTTCTCCAAAAATGTATATATATAGATATATATATATATATATATATATATTGTTAAAAAATAAATACATTTTTTCTTTAAAATATATATATATATATATATATATATATATATATATATATATATATTGTTAAAATCTAGACATTTATTATGAGCATAAATATGAAAAACGATTTTCCATTAAAATCGGCTATTTATTAGGGTCATTAATATGAAAGATTATTTACCATTAAAATAGGTAACTTATTTGTAATTAAAGAAACATTAAACGGAATTGTTATAGCAATTATACTCAAAATATTTGTTTGTTTTTATTACAACATGCCTAAAATTGCTTATCCAAGATCCGGATAGAGTTAAACCCGGGTAAAACCCGGATCCAAATGAATTAATGCAAAAAAACCCTGTAAAAATGTATATGTAGATAATTACACTTTCAATAGAATTAACAATAGTCAATATAGAAATATTTAAACTGCCATATGCAAATTTTAACTTGTTTATTGGTTAACGTATTCAATACATATCACAATAATCTATAATAATAAAAATAAATATAAACAACTCATACAAATTTGCAAGTAGAAAAAAAAAATATATAAAAAGATTATAAAATTATATTTTTTTGTAAACAATGTATAAATGGTATCAATCAAATACGAAAATGTCAGTTACTTTGGTGATCTAACAAGATTGGATTGGATAAAGATACATGGTGCTTGCATGCCAGAGAACAAAGATTAATACTCAATTTCAAGCCACCTAAAAAGGACTAATTGGACATAGGATACGTAGAATAAATAGAAAAATTTCATGCTCATTTTGTATATATATATATTTTTAAAAAAATACAGAATAGGGATTGTATAAAATTAGAGAATGGGGAATGTACAAAGGATAAGTGGAAGAACAATATAAAAGAGTCAACGTGCATGGAGTCGTAGTTCACTTTGCTTCATAAAAATATAGAATTCTTAGGTTCATCTGTACAAACTTCACCAAATTTCATATTAAACATAGTTCATGAACACAATTCTTTACTTAAAATACATAATTAAAGTCTTCAGATACATAATTATAGTATGTTGAAAAATCAAAGCATTTGGTGGAAAATGAAACATCATGTTTACCTTTCAACTTCATAATCCAAATCTAAATAGAACGGATCCTCAACATCATCGATATTATTGAAGCTGTAATGTCTCCATTGGTAAAAATCTTTTATCTTTGTTACAACTTCTTTTTATATACAACCTGAACTTAGATAGAAAATTGTTAATACACCTTTAATTTTACAATTGTCTTCTCTTTACAAAATTTCCAGCTTTTAGAGAAAAAACTTTCAATGGCACCGCGTAAGAGAAAACCAGAAGCACCAATACAAGACACATCAAAGTTAAACAGGATCAAAAGACTACAAATACGAAAAGAGACCATGTATGCTCAGCACATATTGCCAAAACATAATAAACATCTTTTTGTGAAACTAACAACACTATTTTTTTAATCTAACAGAGAAATCAAAAGTCAATGTTGATCCCATAGGTATATTCATATGATTACTAGAATTATTAGAAAATGTGTATATCATTCTATAACTACGAATCATTGTTTAGTAATACATATATAATGCAGAGATTTCAAGAGAAACAAGAAAAAGAAGATATGAAATAAGAAAAGCTACAAGAAAATACACAACCACAAAAGGTGACCATTAATATAATATTTCTCTCCTCCACGAATAGGGATACACCAAAGACGTAACCGGAGTTGCCGGAGCCGCCGTGCCGTATACCTGAAACATTTTTGCCTCAACGATGTTAATATTTTAAATCACAGTTTTTAAAATTCAGCTTCACAATAGCAAGAGCTCTGTTTGAATACCTCCATCTTTTTGAATTCATCTCATATTTGTATTTTACTTTGTTTCTTTTTTGTTTATGTTGATTATGACTTTGCTATTTAACTAAAAGGGACTACCTTTTGCGTAGTATTGGGATCAAAAAGTTGAAAATTTATTGGTAGTTCTAGGCCTGGGCATTCGGATTTCGGATCGGATTCGGATCGGATATATTCGGATTCGGATAATTCGGGTATGAGAGTTTATTATCCGTTCGGATTTTATGATTTTTCGGTTCGGTTTCGGTTCGGATATATTCGGATTCGGATAATTTTGGTAGGAGAATTTATTATCCGTTCGGATTTTATGAGTCATCGGTTCGGTTTCGGTTCGGATAGGTATCGGATTCGGATCGGTTTTCGGGAAAAAAGAACTAAAAAATTGTTCAATTTAAATAAAAACTAGTTTAATCTTACTAAAATTTGGTTAAATTTTACAAAATATGCATAATTTTAACAAATATAACTAAAAAATTTCCAAAATCTAGGATATTTAAGATATTTTTGTTATTTGCTATAAAATTACAACTAAATATAACTAATATTTTTGGATATATAATTTCTATTTCCGGTTTTCGGATATCCTTTCGGTTTTCGGTTCGGATCGGGTTCGGTTCGGATAATTCGGATAGGAGAATTCATTATCCGTTCGGATTTTGTGACTATTCGGTTCGGGTTCGGTTCCGGATTTTCCGGATCGGTTTCGGATCGGTTTTCGGATTTCGGATTTTATGCCCAGGCCTAGGTAGTTCTATCATCTTATAAACAATCCAATAAGACTTAATACTATACATGGCATTGACACTTAAAACTATCTATACACTATACCCAACTAATTAATCATAACTTCATTAATCCATGACAATTTCTACATGCAAATTTTCAATGATAATGGAACATAACACAGACTATGACAAATAAGAGGATAAGACTGATACCATGGGAGCAGTAACTCAAGGAATCATATGTGAATCAACCAACCTGAGAATTCCAGAACAGATCGAAGAAAACTCAGTCTCAACTTAATTTAGATCAAACACCCTCAAAACAGAATTAAAAATTGAGATCTGTAATCTCTGAAATTACATAGCTTCTTATTTCTATTATTGATTTGATTACGGTTATTGAAATTGAAATTGGTTGCGTTCCGGTTTTCGGGAACCAATATATAAGATGTTTGATTGGAAGATCAATTACTGAAAATATAATTGTGGTGATTTACTCAAATTAAACACTAATGAAGGGACTAGAAAATATTTTACCAAAAAAAAAAACTTAATTTAGATCTGTAATCTTTGACAAGCGACACGTGTTCTTCGTTCTTTGCCGTGGAGTAAAACCACTCTTAAATCACCACAGTTAGAAATTAGAAACAGATCTGCGGATATTTTCTTTGACTTCATCATAGATTTGAAATTCTGAGGACTCTAAGAGGAGGAAATGGCTTTGTGGTCTGAAATTCAGTTGACTCGCAGAGATAGAGTTAAAGAATTTGGTGAGAGACGACGGCGATGAGAGTAGAAGAGTGGCTCTGGTCTACAACGTTTCATTAAGATTGAGCCTTTAAGTTTGGCTTCAATGTTAGTACTATGTTTAAGGCCCAATATGAGCACTACGTGTTTTGAACATTGGGCCTATAACTTTGGCATCCCTTATTGTTTATATTTGGTGGTGTTCATTAAGATTTATGCATACACGATGATTAGTTTTATAGATTTTTGTACTGTAAAAATCCAAAATTTTACAAAATCAAAAAACAAAGAGGCATAGCATAACTGGAAGAATTATTTTATATACAAAAATAATATCAAATAAATTATTAAATTATCGTTTTAACAAACTAATAATGTGATCTAATAGTTTAAAAATAATTTTACAAAATGAAAGACTATGGTAAATATTTTTAATGCAATCCATACATAAATATTAACAAAAAATGCTACTTAAAATAGCTTCATATAAACTCTAATACTCTATAATAGATCCACTAATCCTCTTGCTTATTTAAAAGAAGAATAACTAATAGACCATGACTCTAGACTAAACAAGATTAGTTTCTTAATTGTTAGAGATTGAAACATAATTTAAGAAAAATATCCCGCGGCATAGCGCGGGTTTCGTCCTATTACTTTTTAATTAAAGTTTAAGATTTTACTCTGTAATATCGGTTACCAATCATTTGAAATATTAAGAGGTAGGGGATTAATTGGGTTAATTGAGATCACATGTTAGACCAAACCGAACCATTCTAAAATCGTTCATAAGATCAGGGTGGTTACATCATGGTTAGTCTTAAACCAAAAAAATGTCACGCCTTTACTAAACCAAAAATTTAAAATCCTGGTTTAGGTCTTTTTTCAGCTCACAATTATGACGTGTACAATGCTGGAATTTAATTATTTATTTTCTAAAACGGATCTTGTTGCCTTGTGTGATCTTCCTTTTCAAATTTTGG